TGCTTCTCACTTTTTTTGTAATTCTGGGGTAAAATTTTGGTGGATATCTTTCCAATTGGTCATAATGAAATATTTTAATGAGTTATCTGATTTACTAATTGAAATCATTAGAAAAGGTTTTGTTGATTTAAAATACTTGAAAAAACTACTAAAAGAGGTTCAAAGTGAAAAGCAATTTATTGAGGATGAATTAGAAGTTTGCCGAACTCAGCCCAAAGAATATAAATTAGGCAAATGAACTTTTTTGTTAAGCACCATTAAACATCCGCTTCTTATTTATGAGATAAGTGGACTAATACTAAAAATAGAAATAATTATTAAAGAAAAACAAAAAGCAATTGGCATTCAACCCATGCTCTATTTGTGCATCCCAATTAAATTAGTTGAGGAATACCCCGAAATAGAAAATAAGTTAGCAGAAACCAAACAAAAAGCGACTTATCTAATCACTAAAAATAATTTTCAGTTTATTATCGAAACTATTCGAATTTTTGCTCTTTTGTCAAAAAAGCACCAAAGAGATATTGTTAATATTTTGCGAACAATTCTAACTTATGGAGATAAGCAAACTATTAAATAATTTAAAAGTGGGTTAATTGAATAATTTGAGTTTTGGTTTTTTGTTGGAACTGCTGGACTAAGGCTTTTAAGTGCTGGTTTTCGGACTTCAAATTATTGTTTTCAGCTTGGATTCGGGCTAACTGATTTTCTAAACTCTTAATTTTGGCCAATAAAATTACTTCACTGTCAGTTAGTTTGCCCTTTTTATTAGCGACTATTATTAATGGTTGGTTAGTTTTCAATTGATCGGATTTTTTGCCAACAGAATTTAAGAGAAATTTCTCTGGTTCTTTTGTTGAAATTCCGTTAATTAACATTCCTGGGGTTTTTTTAAGTGTTTTTGGGGTTGATAAGGAATTACACTGCTGAATAGGCTTTTTGTTTGGAATTAGCGGCTTGCGGTCTATAAAAATAGGTTTAGGAGTTTTTGGTTCTTGGGGAAAATTTTCTGTGATTGGTTTTGGTGGTTCTCCACTTTCTAATCAGTTTTTACCGACGAGGATAGGACCAATATCGCCGTTATCTGGTTCCTGGTGGATATTTTGCCAATATAAAGCAGTAGTGCGAACGCTAGCATGACCGAGCATTTTTGATAAGATGGGTAAAGATAAGCCGTTTTCAGCATGATAAGTAGTGAAAGCATGCCGTAAAGTATGCGGTGATAACTCTATACTTCCGCTAATATTCAATTCCCGCTTAACTTTTTTTAAGAAGTGATAAAAATTGAAGCGATTTGTGCTGTTGGGCTTTCAGTTGTGTTTCCTTAACTCTCTGATAACTTTCTTGGGAATACAGACTAACCTTTCTTTTTTACCTTTTGGTCTCTCTACGCGATATAAACCTTGCCTAGTTTTACTTGTCAAATCAAAACTTACTGTTTCACTCACCCTTAACCCTGACTTATAATCTAGCAAAAATAAGCAGTAGTGAATTTTTCGTCTGCTTTCTTTGCGGTGGTTAGGAATATTTTTGATTTTTCTGCTGATTTGTTTTAAAAGTTCCTGGCTAGGAAGCATAATTGATTAGTTAGACAATTTGGCACTCCCTCGTCTCACTCTCTTTAACTTTATTAACAGTCCACCCACGGTTAATAAACTTGCCACTAGCAAACTTAACCAAATAATTCTTTCAGTT